CTCTGCTTCCCCAAAGTTCAAGGCCAATGAACCACATTCCAGGTTATCTTGTGGGATGAGGACTCATCAACTGGCTTTCTGGTGCTTGGAACTTCCAACCCTAAGATCCATCCCTCAACCCCTGAACTAATGGGGCTTATGTCATATGTATGCATAACACCTGAGAAGAGGAGCTGATGGCCCCAAGGGAAATGCACTCACTGGCCAAGGCAATAAGTGATTTTCTGACCATAACTATCTCAAAAGAAAAATAACACATGGCATTACAGATCCCATCAGAAGCAAATATATTAGAACAGATGGACCAAAATTTAAAATTAGTTTTAAATAACTTAAGAGATAAGGCACAGCACTGGCAATAAGACATGAGAATAAAAAAACATAAAACAGAACCAAATAGAAATATTAGATATGTAAAACAACTGTTGGGATAAAAATCCAACAGAGGAAATAAATAGTAAAATGGATACAGGTATGGAACAGATTAGCAAACTGGAAGAGCAGACTGAGGAAACACCCACACAAAAGGAAGAGATAAAGGAAAAGGAATTGGAAAACAAAAGAAATGCTAAGAGATATGAATAGAAATTTAATAAGAAAAAGAAAGAAATAGACATGCTAACATCCAAATAACAAGCCTAAAAAGGAGAAACTTTTAAAATGGAAAAGGACATACAAGTACACAGATGGGCCTAGGGGAAAAAAAAGAATAAAATAAAATAGTATAAATATAAAATTAAAAAAAAATAAAATAAAATGGAAAGGACAAAAATATTAAAAAATAAGAGATAAACTTCACAGAATGTAAAACAGATTAAAAAGGCCAGGCACGGTGGCTCATGCCTGAAATCCTAGCACTTTGGGAGGCTAAGGCAGGAAGAATGCTCACAGTCAGGAGTTCAAGACCAGCCTGAGCAAGAGCAAGACCATCTCTATTAAAAATAGAAAGAAATTAGCCAGACAACTAAAAATATGTATAGAAAAAATTAGTTCAGCATGGTAGCGCATGCCTGTAGTCTCAGGTACTTGGGAAGCTGAGGCAGGATCGCTTGAGCCCAGGAGTTTGCGGTTGCTATGAGCTAGGCTGACTCCATGGCACTCTAGCCCAGGTAACAGAGCAAGACTTTGTCTCAAAAAAAAAAACAAACAAAAAAAAACCAAATTAAAGATATCAGTTCAAAAGGCCCATAGACAGTATTTTATAAAGTTAAATATACACTTACCAAACCATCTGGCTATTTCACTCTTAGGTTTTTACCCAAGATAAAGGAAAACTTGCATATACAAAAAACCATATAGAAGAATGTCCATAGCAACTATATTCATAATAGCCAAGAACTGGAAACAACATAATGTCCATCAATAGGCAAATATAATAAGTAATTGTAACTCACCTACCCAGTGAAATGCTACTCAGCAAAAAAAGAGCAAACCACTGGTATGTGCTTCATGGATGAGCCTCAAAAATATACTGTTGAGCAAAAGAATCCAGATACAAAAGGCACTATATGAGTAGAATGCTGTATGACTCTATTTACATAAACAGTTTAAAAAGACAATTCTAACATACAGTGTCAGGCAGCAGATAAGTGGTTTCCCAGAGCTCAGAGAGGTGGAAGTGTTCTCTATTTTTATTATAGTGGTGGTTAATAAGGCTGTAGACATTTTTCAAAATTCACCAATTGCAGCCTTAAAAGAAGTCATCATGATGCATACTGGTGATGTTTAAAGCCTGGGTGAGATCACCAAGAAAGTGCAAGATAAGAAATGGGCACTCTAACATTAAGAGAAGTGAGGAGGAAACAGCAAAGGCAGCCAGAGGTGAAGGCCAGAAGAGCAGCAGGAAAACTGAGAGGTGCCCTGAAAGCCAAGTGAAGAACATGTTTCAAGGAAGTGATCCGGTGTCTAAAAAGCTGCTGATAAAGGAAGAAAACTGAGAATTGAACACTGGATTAAGCAATGTGGTCATGTGACAGTGAGATGGGTTTGAAGTGGCTCAAAAAAAAAATGGAAAAAAAAAACAAAAACAAAAAACAGCAGAGACAGCACAGACAGACAACTTTTGAGAAATTTTGCTAAAGTGAAGCAGAGAAATGATGCACAAGCCAAAAGGGGATGCAGTATCAAGAGTTCTTTCGTCTTACAAATATGTTTGCATGTTGATAAGAATCATCCAGTACATAGAAAAAAACTAATGATGAAGGAGATGAGGGAGCTTCACTGGAGTGATGTCCTGGAGTAGCTGGGTGGCTACGGGCACAGGGACCAGCCAGCTGACATACAGGTACTGACACTGCCAAAGGGGATAGAGGTGGAGGGATGTTATGGAAGGCCTCTGCTGATTGCTTCTATTTTCTCAAGGAAATAGGAACCAAAATCATCAGCTGGGACTTTGCATGAAGGAAGGTTCAGTCCGAGGATTGTTAGAATCTAGGCATTAGTAATTTAGCTCAGGAAGGGATGATTAAAATGCATTGGTGGTTTCCAAATTGAAACGGAATCGCAAACGCATTACCAACCAGATTACGGGCAGCAGCCGAGAGAGACCAGTCACAAAACTTAATTTCTAATTTTCCATGAATACTTTTCTAGAAAGCACATTAGTAGCCCTTTGAAGTGACTAGAACTTTTCATTACACTGCCTTGCAATCCAAACAGTGGCAATTTCTTCCCTCATCTGTGAGTGAATGTGTGTATGTAAATGTATGTGTGTGTATATATATGTATTAAAAAGTGTATATAGAAGTTTGAAAAAAAAATGCATTGGTGGAAGGGTTCGTCACTGGTGGGATGGTTCTAGGGATCATAATGGGAGTGGCTGTGGGAAGGTGTTGAGCAAAACTATCAGCATAGAGGAAGTCAGAGAACAGTTAAGACTGGGACACTGGAATCAGAAAGTATTATGATGGGGATGGTCTTAGATGCAGCGGCACAGGAGCTGAAATCTTTTGAGATATGCAGATGAGCAACACATGGTAGATCACTGCAGTTAGAAACAGTAGGTGATCATCTCATGACCCCAAAGACTGGAGCTGAGTTTTAGAGAGAAGCGATAGGAAACAGTCTGAAAGCAGAGAAGAGAGGGAGAAAAAGCAGTCAGTCTTGGAAAGGAAACAATGTACATAGCCATACAAATGTTAGAATACAGGAAACAGAGGACCTGGTCATCCTGGCCATATGAGAACACTGAAACCAGCCTTATAGTTTACTGTCATATAAGGCTGTATGTGACAGGCAGTAGGGTAGGAAGAACCAGAAGTCTGAGACTTTCTTTTGTCTCATGGATGTGGGCAGAGCCACAGGAGGTCATTTTAGAAATATTTCTTTTAAAGATAATAAGCTTGTTAATAAGGTTAAAAAATAAGTTAACAGGATGCTTGTGGAATATTACATATAATTTATGAAATCCTTTGGAATCCCTAAATCAGAGAATTTAGATTCACTTTGGGTATTAGAATATAATATCCATATCATATAGGCATTACAATTCTAGATACATCATGCTGCTGTCTCTTCAATATTGCTAACTCTGTTCTCTCCTAGGGTCTTTGCACATATCACATAAGACATCCATCAATAGCCTTAATTTGCTCCTACAACATTCATTCAGTGACCACCAATGGCATCAGTTCCTGAAAGGTAAGGAATCAAACAGGAGTCAGAGGGTGAACACAGCCTCCCTGTGACACCAGTAAATCATCATTTCTCAATCATTGGGGAGTCATGGACCCCTTGAAAATTGGAAGAACCTCATGTACTCCAGATTTCTATTCAACACTCTTGAAGCCTATCTAGGAAGGATCTTTGGCCCCTAGTTAGAGACCCACTCCAGGGAAAATACAGGACATATTTATGAATTGGACAGAAGCCACCTGAGTTCTCTGATCCATCTTACCCTTTTTCTCCTGTGAATACTCAGAGACTTCCTCACTCTAGGTGAACTGGCTAGCTCCCTTCTCTTCTCCTCTCCCCTATCAAGCAATCTTTTCATCTGGAGAAGATAAAGAAAAATTGAACAATGAATTCAAGGGAGACCTTGAGAAATGGTGCTCCAACATGCAGTTGTATCTGTATAAAAAAATAAACACCCCTGCCCTCTACTTTATCAGGGGCATTCTAAACCCATCAAGAGGCTTGCACAGACCTCCATTGAGTCCTTCTCCAAGCCCTGTAATCCTCAGGGCTGTGGGCAGTGAAATCCTAGGGAATTCAGGTCCTCCCAAATGCAGTGATTCTAAATGTCCAATCCAGACTTCTTCATATTCCAAAAAGACCTTAACTTTTGTGTTACCATAAGTCTTTCAGGACAGAGGGACCAGTTAACTTAATTTCTCATTGTTTAGGATTTTCTTTTTATTATCAAATCTCTACTACAAAAACACTGAACAGAAGGAAAAAGTAAGGACAAAAATCACTGCAGAGGCAGCATAACATAGTGGTTAAAAACATGAAACTCTGGAGCTGAACATTCTCAGCTCCACTCCTTACTAGCTGAGGTCCTTGATCAGATTCTCAATACCTCTGCTTCAGTTTCCTCATTATTAAAGTGGGATAGTAATGTGTCTATCTCATAGAGTTAAGGGACTTAAGCTAATACTTGGAAAGCATTTAAAACAAGGCCTATCACATGATGAGTGCTATGTGAATTTGTGAAACTTAAAAAAAAAAAAACCCTAAATTAACTGGGTTAATTTCTCCATAGAGCTTTCAGATCTTTATCCATATACCTTTTTTATTTTATTTGAGACAGAGCCTCGCTTTGTTGCCCAGGCTAGAGTGAGTGCCGTGGCATCAGCCTAGCTCACAGCAACCTCCAACTCCTGGGCTCAAGCGATCCTCCTGCCTCAGCCTCCCGAGTAGCTGGGACTACAGGCATGTGCCACCATGCCCGGCTAATTTCTTTTCTATATATATTAGTTGGCCAATTAATTTCTTTCTATTTATAGTAGAGACGGGGTCTCGCTCTTGCTCAGGCTGGTTTCGAACTCCTGACCTCGAGCAATCCGCCCGCCTCAGCCTCCCAGAGTGCTAGGATTACAGGCGTGAGCCACCGGCGACCAGCCTTATATACTTTTTTAGATCTGTTATAGCAAATATGTATATACAATTCTGTGTTCTTTATTTCTTCATGTAATGTGTACTGATGCAGTATCCATAATTATAATTTATAGTGACTGCCTAAAACAAATTACAAAGTAATTGCCTAACAATGCAGTGAATAAACAATGGACACTGACACACTGGGTTATCAGGTATCACCTTTTGCTCCAATGTCAGTCTCATACCTATAGGTGATAACTTTTCCACCATTAGTAATCTCATTTACTAATCTTTTCTAAGGTTAATCTTGATCAACAGTAAATGCACCATTCAATACTATTCTTTACTTAAATTCAGATTTAGTATTTCGTATTCTATTCCTTAAAGGGCACCTAGATTCTTCCCTTTTAGTAGCAAAATCTATAATTATGCACAAAATGTTATTGTAAAGTTTTCCAATCAATACTCAAGCGTGATGAAAAAGTGTATTTCCAGTCAAAACACTTTTCTCGACATAAGGGTTTTTCCCATTAATTCATGGTGATCTACAAATAGGTGAGAGCTCTTGCTAAAAGACGCCTCATTCCCCACAGTCATGTTCCTCAAGTATATATTCCTAGTGGACCATAAGGGGAGTTTAGAGTTTCCTTCACTGTAATTATTTGATGTTGAATAAGAGCTATGTAAGCACTGAAAGCTTTTCCCTATTCCTTTCATTCATAGGGTATCTTCTAAGATATTTCCTATTAAATAATAAGGGGAGAAGTCTCAATGAAAATTTTCCCCTCTTGATTATTTTTATACGGTTTTTTCAATGTAATATCAAACATACAATAAAAGAAAAACCTCTCATCAATTCAATTCAGTTTCTCTTCGTTGTGATTTCTCTGGTGTTGAAGTAGGGCTGAGTGACCACTAAAGGCTTTTCCACATTCATTGCATATAAAGCGTTTCTCTCCACTATGCATTCTCTGATGAATAATAAGAGAAGAATTCTTACAGAAAGCTTTCTCACAATGATTACATTTGTAGGGCTTTTCTCCAGTATGATTTCTCAAGTGTACAATAAGGGAAGAACTCTCATTAAATGCTTTTCCACATTCATTACACCTGTATGGTTTCTCTCCAGTATGAGTTCTCCGGTGTGCAATAAGGTGAGAGCTACAGTTAAAAGATCTTTCACACTGATTACATTTATAGGGCTTCTCACCAGTGTGAATTCTCCGATGAGCAACAAGGTGACAGCTCTGACTGAAGGATTTTCCACATTTATTGCATTCATAGGGCTTTTCTCCAGTATGAGTCCTTTGATGCCTAACAAGGTGAGCCATCTGGCTACAAGATTTTCCACATTTATTACATTCATAGGGCTTAATTCCAGAATGAATTATTTCATGTTTAGTGAGGGCTGAGCGTTCTCTGAACGCTTTGCCACATTCCTGACAATTATAGGGTTTCTCTCCCGTGTGAGTTCTCTGATGGGCAATAAGATGGGAGCTCCAGCTAAAGGATTTTCCACATTCAGTACATTTATATGGTTTTGCTCCAGAGTGAGTTCGTTCATGTTTAGTAAGGGCTGAGTAATCTCTAAAAGCCTTTTCACATTCATCACATTTAAAGGGTTTCTCTCCAGTATGCATTCTCATATGGGCAATAAGATGGGAGCTCCAGCTGAAAGATTTCCCACATTCAGTACATTCAAAGGGTTTCTCTCCAGTATGAGTTCTCTGATGTCCAATAAGATGGGAGTTCCAGTTGAAAGATTTCCCACATTCATTACATACATAAGGTTTTTCTCCTGTATGAATTCTCTTATGTACAATAAGATGAGAATTCCAGCTGAAGGCTTTTCCACATTTATTACATTCATAGGGTTTTATTCCAGTGTGAGTCCGTTCATGCTTAGTAAGGGCTGAACGATTCCTAAACACTTTTCCACATTTCTCACATTCATAGGGTTTCTCTCCAGTATGAGTTTTCTTATGTTGAATAAGGTAAGAGCTCCAAATGAAAGACGTACCACATTCATTATATTCACAGGGTTTCTCTGCAGTGTAAGCACTTGTATGTTGAGTAAGGAATGAGTCATATCCAAAAACTTTTTCCCACTCATTGCATTTATATGTTTTCTCTACAGTACCAATTTTTTGATGTTCCATAAAGGATGAGAAGTAAAAGATATTCTCATATTCTTTGTAATCATACTGGTTTCCTCCAATATGCAGTCTTGGATGTTCATTAAATGATGGGCTCTGGTTAAAGATTTGATGGCATTCCTTATATTCATAGAGTTTTTCTCCTGTATGCATTCCTTTATGATCACCAAAATGTATTATATGATTGAAAGATTTAACAGCATCAGTACATCTGAAAAGATTATCTCTGGTTTGCACTCCTATAGGGTCAATAGGTTTAACAGACTGGTAGAAGGCTTTGTCATAATCATTATTTTCACAGGTAATGTTATCTGCATACATTATGGCTGAGTTACATCTCCAATTTTCAGCATGTGTATCAGGCTTATAGAAATGTTCTATCTGAGAAACTCCCTGAGATGGAACAAAGTTTACGTTCTGGCTACACTCTGCCCCAAGTTCAGAGAATTCAGAGCTTCTTTGAGACAGTACTTGCTTTTCCATGAAGACCATTTGCCTCATAGCTGTACTCTGGTTCATGTGATACATTTCTAATTGGTCTTTACATCCCAAAACTTCTAACCTGGAGAACCAAGGATCATTCCATATGTATCTTTCCAACTTCATGCCATGGGATTGTTCTTCCTCAAAAATGCTCTGTGTTGGGATCAATGCTTTGCTTTCAAGATTTCTCACCCATTCTGAAATAGACAGAAAAAAGCTGTGAGAGCATAGAAAAGGCCTTAGAATAGAGAAAGTTGAGATTTATTGTCCATATTATCAAAAAGGCAAGTATGAATTTCTTTTCAAATACACACTTGGAATCCAGAGAAAGATCATAATCAGGAAGAAGAAAATAGTAAAAAGTGAACACTAGTTAACCAGATTACAAAGTGTGTGCTAAAAACTAATAAAACCATATAAAAGTACTTTCCCATGAAGAGGAAGACCAGAATAAGAGTGTGTAGGAAAAAGTTAACTCTACGGGCCTGAGTGGCTCAAAACTTGCACATTCCCAAGATGGCCTGTGTCATGACCGGCCCTTAACCAACTTCTGGGAACCAAGATCTTGGAATATTCTCATAAAAATGTTTTATGTGCTCAATGTTATGAAGCACACTGTGCCAACTTCTCTAGATAGTTTGTGCAAAAAGTGTCATTTATAGAGTGAACACTTGCTTTTCTTCTGGAGCGTCTGGAGTTTCAGTGATTGCAGTCAAGTCACATAAGCACTGTGTCCCTAGATAAGCAACCCCCAATAAATACCCTGGATTCCTAGGCTCAGGCAAGTTTCCTAGCAGACAATATTTCACAACATGTTGTCACAACTCCTTGCAGAAGGAATTAAATGTGCCCTGTGTACCTCTACTAGGAAAGGACTACTTCAAGTTTGCACCAGCTCTAACTCCATGCACCTTCTTCCCTTTAGTGATATTGCTGTGTATCCTTTTATGGTAACAAACCATAATCCTAGGTATTATGAAAAAAAGCTCCACATCTCTAATCATTAGGGAAATGCAAATCAAAACCACAATGAGATATCACCTAACTCCAGTGAGAATCGCTTTTATTCAAAAAATCCCCAAACAGGCCAGGTGTGGTGGTTCATGCCTGTAAACCTAGCACTCTGGGAGGCTGAGGTGGACAGATCACTCAGGGTCAGGAGTTCAGGACCAGCATGAGCAAGAGTGAGACCTCGTCTCTACTAAAAATAGAAAGAAATTAATGGCCAACTAAAAATATATTTAAAAAATTAGCCAGGCATGGTGGTGCATGCCTGTAGTCCCAGCTACTCAGGAGGCTGAGGCAGTAGGATCTCTTGAGCCCAGGAGTTTGAGGTTGCTGTGAGCTAGGCTGACACCATGGCACTCTAGCCTGGACAACAGAGTGAGACTCTTGTCTCAAAAAAAAAAAAAAAAATCTCTAAACAGACTGGGTGCAGTGGCTCATACCTGTAATACTAGCACTCTGGAAGGCCAAGGCAGGAGGATCACTTAAAGTCAGGAGCTCAAGACCAATTTGAGCAAGAGCAAGACCCTATCTCTACTTAAAATAGAAAAATATTAGTCAGGCAACTAAAAATAGAAAAAATTAGGTGGGCATGATGGTACACGCCTGTAGTCCCAGCTACTCAGGAGGCTGAGGCATAAGGACCACTTGAGCCCAGTAATTTGAGGTTTCAGCGAGCTAGGCTATTGCCACGGCACTCTAGCCCAGGTAACAAAGCGACACTCTGTCTTAAAAAAATTCCAAAACAACAAATGCTGGTGTGGATGCAGAGAGATAGGAACACTTATACACTGTTGGTGGGACTGCCAACTAGTACCTCTAAGGAAAGTAGTATGGAGCCACCTCAAAGACCTACCATTTGATCCAATAATCCCACCATTTGGTATTTACCCAAAGGAAAAAAGGACATGTTATAAAAAAGACACCTGTACCCGAATGTTTATCGCAGCACAATTCACAATTGCAAAGATGTGGAAACAACCCAAGTGTCTATCAATTCATGCATGGATTAATAAAATATGGTATATGTATACCATGGATTACTATTTAGCTTTAAGAAACGATGATATAGCACCTCCTGTATTTTCCTGTATAGAGCTGGAACCCATTCTACTAAGTGAAGTATCTCAAGAATGGAAAAACAAGCACCACATGTACTCACCAGCAAATTGGTATTAATGGATCAACATTATGTTTTTCCAATTAATGGAAAAACATTTATGAGGTGTCAGGCGGGTGGGATGGGGGAGGAGGGGATGGGTATATACAAACACAATGAGTAAGATGTGCAACATTTGGGGGATGTTCAGGCTTGAAGCTCTGGCTCGAGGGGCGAAGGGGGCATGGGCAATATACATAACCTTAATATTTGTACCCCCATAATATGCTGAAATAAAATAAATAAATAAATAAAAATAAAAGTAGACCGACCATTTGATCCAAAATCCCACCATTTGGTATTTACCCAAAGAAAAAAAGGACATTTTATAAAAAAGACACCTGTACCCAAATGTTTATGGTATCACAATTCATAATAGCAAAGATGTGGAAACAACCCAAGTGCCTATTGAGATACATGAGTGGATTAATAAAGTATGTTATACGTATACCATGGAGTACTGTTTAGCCATAAAAAGAAATGGTGAACTAATACCTCTTGTATTAACCTGTATGAAATTGGAGATCATTCTGCTAAGTGAAATATCACAAGAAAGGGAAAGCAAACACCACATGTACTTACCATTAAGTTGGAACTAATTGGATCAACATTTAAGTGCACATATGGAAATAAAGCTCATCAGAAATCAAGCAGGTGGCGGCAGGGTAAGAAGGGATGAGTAAACTCACACCTAATGGGTACAATGCACAATATCTGGGTGATGACACACGTATAACTTTGACTCAAACTGTACAAAAGCAATTTATGTAACCAAAGTGTTTGTATGTTTACTCGTACAAACTCATACCCGTAATACTCTGAACAAAAATTTTTTTTTAATGGTAAATTTATTTTAATCCTTATTCAAAAATGATATTTAAATAAAGCTGTTACTATACCAGATTTAAAAATAAGGAGAAACAATGCTATTATATATGTTCTTAAGCTGTGAAATTTCTCCAGTAATGGAGTAATGTTCAAGGAAATGATATTCAAAAATATAAATTCTTAAACATTAGCTTTTTTCTGTTAAGTCTTTTTCAACTTCTTCAGTTAACAGCAATACTTCGAACATTTTCAACTGTAAACTCTTAGCTTGTAATGTTTTGCTTTTTCCTGTATCTTGAAAATTTCTAAGTGCCATTAAATATATTATCTTCTGTTTCTCCTTAAAGAACTAATGTTCATAACCGGATCATCATCGTCATCCTCATCTGATTCAAAATCAACCCCTTTGGCTGTTTGGCTCTGGGACGTGCGTTTGCTGGAAGATGCGCTTGACCACCTCTGTTCTGTCTTTGAAGTGGTAGGAAAAATGTCATCGTCTTCCACATCTGATTCATCCACCTCGATTACCTCTGAATAATTCTTAGTAGCAACATTTCGTGAGGGCTGCTGTCTTGTAGATTTAAAGACATCTAAAATAGACATATTTCCAGATGTTGACACAGCAGCCTTTGAACTCCTGCTCCGGGTAGTGGTCTCCAGACCTGCGCCTGCTCTTCCTCTTTGAGACTCTCCTCTCGATGTTGAATTCTGCCCTCTTCCTCCTCTTCAACCTCTTCCTCGGCCTCTTCCTCTGTTGGCTGCTGCTGAGATGCTATCATCAGAGTCATTGCCCATCTGTTCTGCTAAATCTATACTCATAAAGTCATCAGCACTGAAAGCAGAAGCAGAGTCCTCTGACTGAGATCTGAGAGCTCGGGCCCTATTCATGGCCTCTCGAACTTCGTCATCTTCTTCATTAGTATTTTTTTGTCTGCTTTCTCTGAAACGACGTACTTCTTCATCAATTTTATCTTCTAGGGCATCAATATGACGTTTTTTAAGAAATTGCTGTGTTTTCTCCAACTGGTATTTCACTAATTCCTCGATAGCATCTTTCTCCTACTTGTCCACAAATTCTTGTACTGCTTCACCCATCCCTCTTTCTGTTAGCAGTGAGAGCTGGACATTCTTCTCTGCAGTATGAAAATACTGTTTTACAAGGTCTTCTACCCTTAGAGTTGTTCCTTCTGAAGGTTTTGTAATAAGCTTCCCAAAGTTGATCTCTTCTTCTGTTTTTTCCTTTTGCTCTCTATGCCTGAAAAAATGGATAATGTCTTTTGGATTAGCTACCCGATCCACAAATTTCTGGCTGAAGCAAAGAACACTGAAAGGTTCAAAACCTCCACTATAGTCCACTCGAAGGCGTATAAGAGGCTTCTCTGGCTGTCGAGAATTCCCCAGACGTTCCCGTTCTGCATTTTCAAGCATTACTGTAATCTTCTCTGAACAGAAGCTTTGTATGGCTTGGGTTACTTTAGGATTATCTGGGTTAAAAATGTCCAGATGATTAGCCAGAACAACATCCTCCATATAAAACTGCCGCACTGTCTGAAGAGGAATTTTCTGCATATTCATCTTCCTCCCTTTAATATGCAGCAAACCAACATGTTTCTTTACAGCTTCTCCTGGAGAAAGAGAAGTAACCACTGAACTTCCAGGTTGTGATATATAAAAGAGTTGTTGTTCATTTTTGGTTGGAGCTATTTTACATTCATGCTCATGGCCCCAAATAACAAGATCAATGAAGTCATCCAAAAATTGTTCTGGAATAAAGTTAGTGCTTCCATGTTTACTCCTGTTCTGATGAATCACAAATAAGTTAAACCAAGAGTTCTCATATTCTTTTGGTCTCAACATTGTTACTTTTTTATTGACAAACATTCGATAGAGCCTTTCATCTGGAATGGAGCCTAAACCATACAGTGCAATTTTTGTGCTTCCTTTTTGAAGCAAAACTGGACTAATGTCTATCTTCTCCACAGACATTGAACGTCCAAAGTGATTTACAAATCCAGCACAACTTAAAATATCCAGGGCACAGAGTGCATCTGCCCCCGTGGAATCATCATGATTGCCATGAATACTAAACACTGGAATTGAAATGTTGAGATTGCCATCTTGGTAGTTCACCCATGGAAACTTACTAAAACCAAAGCTGACTGACTGATCACTGATAATTTCAAACTGGACAGGACGATCACCTAT